TTTTTTTTTTTTTTTTTTTTTTTTTTTTGTTTTTGTTTTTAACGCTTTTTTTGCTATTCTATAAGATTAATGTTATTAATATTAATGTAAGTGTTTAATGTATTAATGATGATTGCCTGTGCGAAGATGCGGGAGGAACCGTGCGAAACTGATTGTTCAAAATTGGCGCAATTGATACAAAGCAACAAAAAAAAAATTTTTTTTCCACTAATTTTCAATGCTTAATTTTTTTTTTTTCATATTACTCAAACTTCTTTTTTAAAGTTTATTTATTTATTTATTTTTGACAATTAGGTGTCATACAGTTTACTGCAAAAGAAAAAACTTAAGAAAAATAAATTTATTAAAGCTAAAAGCAGTTGGTCAAAGCAATTTTAAGACACAGACACAGACTTAGGCATTAACATATTTAAGCTAAAGCTAAATTAAACTAACTAACTAATTCTTAGCAATGTTCAACTGCTTTTGTCTGCTGTCCTAAACTGCAACATATAAATTTGACTATGTTTTACTTTGTTTTATAGTATTCTCTTTTTTTGTTTTTTGCTTTTAACCTTTTTTGTACCTTTTATTTTTGCTATCTGTATTATTTTCACTTAAATTTTGATTCAATCTTGAAACAGTAACAGTACAGCCAACCAAAGTTGATAAGAAAAAATTAGTATCAAAATAAAAAATCTGAGTTTTGATTGTTGTTAACAGATCAAAAATGATGAGAAAATTGTTGGAACAATTACTGCTTTTTCTGACACAAAAAAACTTACAGTTTACTAAAGATAGTTTTTTTTTGTTAAAAAATAAATAACAAAGAACATTCATTTATTTATTTATCTGCTTTTCTCTTCCTTTTTCTTAAGAATTATCTGTACCCATTTAAATAGTAAAACTTTTGTGGTATAATTAAAAAACAATAAACCATTCGCAGTTATTGTGAAAATTGTTGCTATATTCTTTTACAGCACAATTTGCTGTTATTTGCACTCAGAAAGGTTCGCATTTTTCCAGAAAAGTTTTCACATCTTAACTGTGCTATTAATTGCAATTTTTTTTATTGGCCAAAAATTTTTTACTTCTTCACCGGCTTTTTAATGGTCAGCTGTAGTGTTTGAACAACAACAAAATGTAGAAACAGTGGCTCAAAAATGCCACAGATGAATGATGATGATGGTTGATGACGATGGACGGAATCAAACATTGGTTGAATGCAATG